CCAAGCTTTTAAGATGTTGCAAGGGCTAGAAAACAGACTGGCTAAGAACAAACAACATGGCATGGCATATGCAGAACAGATGAAAGAAATGGTGAGAAATGGATTTGCCAGGAAATTGAGTGACACAGAAATCGAAACATATCAAGGCCCAGTTCACTACATACCACACCATGCTGTAGTCAGACCTGACAAGAAGAGTAAACCAATTCGTATAGTCTTCAATTTAGCGAACAAGTACAAAGGAGAAGCTATTAATGACTATTGGTTAAAGGAACCAGATCTGCTCAATAACCTCCATGGTGTGATTTTGAGATTTAGAGAAAAAGAAGTAGCTGTATGTGGAGATATATCTAAGATGTATCATAGAGTAATGATACCGGAAGTTGACCAACATATGCACAGATATCTATGACGAGACCTAGAGTGCGAACGGGAACCAGATACTTACATAATGAAGGTGTTGACATTCGGTGATAAATCTGCCGCTGCAATGGCACAGACAGCGCTCAAGATGACTGCTAGGCAAAGTGCAGATACCTACACTAGAGCAGCTGAAGTGCTGGAGAAAGACACGTATATGGACGATGTCTGCACTTCAACAAAGACCATAGAAGAAGCTAAACAACTTACAAGTAACATTGACGATGTGCTGAGCAAAGGAGGATTCAGTATTAAATAATGGTTATCAAACAAGTCACTGAGCAGCAATAGGACAAATAAGGAGAGTATGAATTTAAAACACAAAGAAAAGGAAGAAAAGGTACTTGGAGTGACATGGAATTTTGAAGATAATAATTTAATAGTAAATGTTAAACTAGAAGATGCAATCATGAATGGCAAGATCACTAAGAGAAAGGCGCTGGGGGTCATAGCTCAAGTATTTGATCCAATCGGATTCGTGACACCAGTTGTGGTCAAATTGAAAATGAAGATGCAAGATTTATGGGAGTCAGGTGTAGGCTGGGATAAAGACTTACCTGAACAAGCTCAACGAGAATGGAAGCAACTCTTCATAGAGCTGCAGCAGGTTAACACCAATGAATGCTACTGAAGGTGTAAATTTAATTGTTTTCTGTGATGCGTCTGAGAAAGCGTTTGGTGCATATGCATATTTAAGATGGAAATTTAGAAATGGAACATTCAAAACTACATTTGTTGCAGCAAAGTCGCGTGTTGCTCCTCTCAAGAAGCTTACAATTCCTAGATTAGAATTGCAAGCCGCAGTGATGGCAGCAAGGATGAGCTCATCAATTACGGAAGAGTCAAGATTAATGTTCAAGGAGAAGATTCATTTGACTGACAGCATGATAGTCCTAGGATGGATAAATAAGCCTTCTGGTTGTTACAAGCAGTTTGTAGCAGCGAGAGTTCTAGAGATACAGAACAAAACGGAGGTTGGAAGTTGGAGGCATGTCCCTGGAGCAAAGAATCCAGCAGATGACATTTCAAGGAGGATACCTGCAGAAAATCTAAAGAGCAGATGGATAGAGGGTCCAGAATTTTTGAAGCACCCTATAAATGAGTGGACACAAGTGAAGTTGCAAGTGGAAGATGATGACAAACAAATAAAATCAGTTAAGTTTACTGGAAACATTAGGATCGAACAAGTACAATCAGAAGTGAATATCGAAGATTGCCAAATATGGGAAGATATGTTAGATATATATATAAGAAGATAATCTATGGTGAAGATTGTACAGCTTTAAATGCCAGCCAAGTAGAAGACATTGAGTGGCTGCTACTGCGGAGAGTCCAAAGGGAATGCTTCCCCGAAGAGCTGCAATCATTACAGAATGATAAAGAAGTGCAGAAGAATAGCCGTCTAAGCAATCTTGATCCCGTGTTAGACATTGAGTATGGACTGATTCGAGTAGGGAGAAGATTGAGAAATATGGAAGATGTGGAACTGGAAGCTAATCCAATAGTGTTGGATCTAAACACCACATTACTAAATTGTTGATAAGACGAGTGGATATAAGTATTTTTAACCACAGTGCTGGCCCAAATCAAGTATACGCTTACTTAAGACGAAATTACTGGATATTGAAGGGAAGGAGTAAAATCAAATCTGTCCTAAATGGTTGTTTGGAATGTCAGAAATGGAGAAAAGGAGCTGATGTTCCGAAAATGGCCGAACTTCCTGAAGCAAGGATTATAAAACCACCATTCTATTCTACATGTATGGATTGTTGGGGTCCAATGATGGTCAAAGTTCGAAGATCACAGGGGAAAAGAGATGGGGAGTGATTTTTAAGTGCATGACAACCAAGGCAGTACATCTGGAAGTCATCAGAAGCATGGATGCTGATGCATTTTTAATGGCTTTCAGGAGATTTGTGTCACGAAGAGGAATTCCGAAAGAACTGTTTTCTGATTGCGGTACAAATTTCAAGAATTTAAGTTCAACCCTCCCAGTTCACCACATTTTGGAGGAATCTGGGAAAGAGAAATCAACTGTTAAGAATGCAATCAAGTGTTGTCTGAAAGATCGAGTCATTACCGAGGTAGTTCTTCAAACAGTCATTATCGAAGCTGAAGGGCTGATGAATTCTAAACCTTTAGGATATGTTACATCAGACATTGCTGACAGAAATCCTGTAACTCTAAATATGCTGCTAATGAGGAGAAGAGATCCGCCATTACCATCTATTGTTTTTGGCTCTGAAGAAATCAGAAGTAGAAAACTATAGCGATACAGTCAACTAATCGTGGATAACTTTTGGAAGAGATTTGTCTCTGAATATCTTCCATGCTTACAGATAAGACAGAAGTGGTTACGGGAATTAGAAAACGTAAAGGAAGGAGACCAAGTTTTAATCATCGACAACCAAGTTCAAAGAAGAGATTGGCTCATAGGAGAAGTAACTAAAGTTTTGCCCAGTTCGGATGGACGAGTCAGAATCGCAGATGTTAAGATTCAGAATAAGACCTACACACGTCCAGTAGTTAAACTAATTAAATTTAAACACTGGAAATAATTGCCCTCAGTGAGCATTAGAGAAATATTCAATGTTGCTTTGTAGGAAGTGTATTGGATTTGATATCTTTGTTAAATTGTTACTCTAAGTTTACATGTTATTGAACAATCTTGAAAACAGTTTTGACTTTGTAGTTTGTAGTTAAAATGAGATTTCCTCATTGTTGGGGGGAGTGTAAGATTTGTCGTAAATCTTGCGTAATGTTTTATGGTATAGCACCACCAATGGCTATAAGACACAGCATACTGAAAAGAATGTAGGACTTGCGTTTCGAGCAGCTAGTCGAATTGTTTTTATTTGCTGTCGCCCATGCTAACCTGATGTTTTTTGACAAGTAAACGATAACTGTAAGTTTTTAAGACTATGATTGTATTGTTCATTCATTGATAATCTTGATTATTTTATGTATAACAGCCAGATTGATTTTGAACATGTGATTCGGTGTAGAGGCGGCCATTTTGACAGCTACGGTTTGCCTGTAACAACTTTTGTTATCAATCATTTGAGTATAAAGAACATTAATCTCTGTGATCTAGATTCTGATATGATATTTTATGATGGAAGTGTTTGGTTATGAAATATTACTGTTAGATTTGTTGTTGAACGCGTATTTGAGTGAATTGCTGACATCATGCTAATTTGCATATGATCTCATGAATATGTAGTACGCTGACGGT